ATTCTATTCTATTCTACATCCTGTCTTCTATTCTATTCTATTCTATTCTATTCTATTCTATTCTATTCTATTCTATTCTATTCTATTCTATTCTATTCTATTCTACATCCTGTCTTCTATTCTATTCTATTCTATTCTATTCTATTCTATTCTATTCTATTCTATTCTATTCTACATCCTGTCTTCTATTCTATTCTATTCTATTCTATTCTATTCTATTCTACATCCTGTCTTCTATTCTATTCTATTCTATTCTATTCTATTCTTTCCTTTTCTACATTAGCTTAGAAATGCCCTATCTTACAATCTTGGAGAACTGAAGAAGCTTCTTGGATGAGAAGCAAATATCGGCTTCAAAGAAAAAGAAAATCAAGGAAGTTCAATTGCCCTTGTGGGGGGGGGAAGCACCTTTGGGACAATCATGAGCTGGATAGCTGAGAATCACCCTAGACAGGTAGCCATGACTGGCTGGGAAATTCTGGGGGTTGAAGTCCCCCCCTCTTAAAGTTGCTAAGGTTGAAGAGCATTGACCCTAGGCCAGGGGTGGGGAACCTCGGCTCTTTTATGACTTGTGGTCTTCAACTCCCAGAATTCCTGAGCCAGCATGGCTGACTCAGGAATTCTGGGAGTTGAAGACCACAAGTCATAAAAGAGCCAAGGTTGCCTACCCCTGGCCTAGGCTAACAAACACCACACTAGATTTGAAAAGTGAAGCGGCGAGATTTTTTTTATTTTCCCAGAACGCCTCCTGAAATATGCATTCCCCTCCTGGAAGCTGCCCCAATCAATTACTTAACTAAATGTGACCAGTTGTTGATTAACCTGTAGGTGAAATCTTACACTCCTGAGAAAATGTAATCTGTTTGCCATGTCCAGAAATGAACTCCTCTCAGTCCTCCCCCCCCCCACCCCACTTGGGCAGGGAGGGAGAAATCTTCTCCAGGTTTGCCTTCTCTGCCCCTGGTCACTTTTCATCAATTTTCTTTCTGCTTGTTAAAACTTTTTAAGTTTCCAGAGGAAATCGGGAAGGCTTATGCATCTGTCAGCATCGCTAATTCCATCAAAGATTTCTCATTATTCATTGTTGGCAGTTTAATTTTCTTCCCTCGCCTCCTCTAGAACTAGCCCCAGTTTTAATTACTCGGCTTCCCATCTTCCAAAGGTAGTGGATTTCCTTTATAGCCCCCCCTCCCCTTCCCCCCACAAAAAAAGAGGTCACTAGGCATCCATCTAGGTTAGCCAGTCATCGGCAAACCAGGTTGGCTAATTAAAGCAACAGGAATTAAAGCTGGAAGCTCAATTGCCAAAATTGTGCTATCTTTGTGCAGCAAAAGTAGTGGGTGTTCTCAAGTCCTCCAAGCATTTTGAGTTGTGAATAAATTCCTTCCATTTCTACTTTAGCTTAGGAACGCACAACAATGCTTCCCACCTTAAAGCAGAGCGTTTTGGAGGTTCAGGGTTTTTTTTCCCCTCCAAATAAAGACACACACACATTTCAAGAATCATGTCCCAACATTTGGAAAAGTGTAAATACCAAAGGATATTGGAGTTTCATTGGGGGCCTTAACTCCAGTGCATTTGCCTTTAATGCAAGGCACAAGCAGTTCTTCCGTCGAAAGGAAAGGAAAGGAAAGGGGAAGGAGGAGAGGAGAGGAGAGGAAAAGGGAGGAGAGGAGAGAAGAGGAGAGGAGAGAGAAAGGGAAAGGGGAAGGAGAGGAGAGGAGAGGAGAGGAGAGGGAAAGGAGAGGAGAGGAGAAGAGAGGGAAAGGGAAAGGGAAAGGGAAGGAGAGGAGAGGAGAGGAGAGGAGGAGAGGAGAGGAGAGGAGAGGAGAGGAGAGGAGAGGAGAGGAGAGGAGAGGGAAAGGGAAAGGGAAAGGGGAAAGGAGGAGAGGGAAAGGGAAGGGAAGGGAGAAAAGATACAGGTAGTCCTCAACTTACAACAGTTCACTTAGTGACAATTCAAAGTTACAACAGCACTGAAAAAAGCGACTTATGATGATTTCACACAACCATTGCAGCATCCCCATGGTCACATGATCAAAATTTGGACGACTGGCAACCAACTCATATTTGGTTGCAGCATCTTTGGGTCACGTGATCCCCTTTTGTGACCTTCTGACAAGCAAAGTCAATGGGGGAAGCCAGATTCACTTAACTGTGTTATTAACTTAACAACTGCAGTGATTCACTTAACAACTGTGGCAAGAAAGGTCGTGAAATGGGGCGAAATTCACTTAACAAATGTCTTGCTTAGCAACAGAAACGTTGGGCTCAATTGTAGTCATAAGGACTATTTTTTTAAAAAAAAGTATATATAAAGAAAAAAAAGTATATATAAAGAAATAGCTTCTAATATCCCTCTTGGCAATTATACATAAATTCTAATCAAATCCCTCTTTCCAATTTCTTTTTATGATGATGATGATTACAAAGTGTACCATCCAATGAATCAGGGCTACTTTTTGGCTTCCATCACCACCATCTCAAATAATTAATCACTGAACTGTTGCATCCCAAACATTCAGCATCAACAAATAATATAATTTTCCGTCCTTTCCTGCTTTTCCCCCCCCATTGCTCCAATCTGTGCAATCTTAACAGACAGATATATTTCCTTAACATTTGGCTCACTCCTCTTCCTCCCGTGATATCAACAAGATGCTGACACAACTAGGACTAATCTTATCTAGGTTGAGCTTTGCTCAGATAAGATTGGGAATTTACGACCATCAGAGAGTAGAAAAGCAGAAGGATGATTGAACAGACATTCTCTTTAACTGCAAGCCAGAGCAACACAATGAAGACACAAAACATCCTGGCTCTCAATTCGATCTTTCTGGCTGCTGTTGTTTGCTATCCAGCTGTCCAGAAGGAGAAGACAGCGGGTGTCCACAAACTGCTCCTGATCTCCTTTGATGGCTTCCGATGGAATTACGATGAGGATGTAGATACCCCACAACTGGATTATTTGGTTAAGGAAGGAGTGAAAGCAAAATACATCACACCTCCCTTTGTGACCATGACTTCGCCTTCGCATTTTACAATTATCACAGGTAAGGCCATCTTGTATTTTTCCAGTCTTACCTGATTTCTGCAGAAGATTCCACAGAGGTGGATGAGAAGGAAGATCTCATTAAATTCACAGCAGTCATCATGGACATTTTTTTTTCTCCAGCAATTTTAGGAAGGACATTGAGCACAGAGTGTGTATAACTTATTCAAAAGTCACCTGAGCATTTCCATAGCTGAGAATAGATGCTGGATCTACCTGATTTGCCTGTATGGTTTTACAAAGCCTTCGTAAGACCACACTTGGAATACTGGATCCAGTTCTGGTCACCCCAATATAAAAAAGATGTTGGGATTCTGGAAAGAGTGCAGAAAAGAGAAACAAAGATGATTAGGGACCTGGAGACTAAAACATACGATCACTTTAACATGAGTCAGCAGTGTGTGGCAGCAGCCAAAAGAGCTAATGCAATCCTTGGTTGTATAAACAAAGGCATAGAATCAAAATTGCCTGAAGTATTAGTACTGCTTTATAAAGCCTTAATGAGGCCACACCTGGAATACTGCGTCCAATTTTGGTCACCACATTACAAAAGAGATGTTGAGACTCTGGAAAAAGTGTAAAGAAGAGCAACTAAGATGATTAAAGGCCTGGAAACTAAATCATATGAAGAACGGCTGCAGGATTTGGGAATGGCCAGTGTAGAGAAAAAAGGACTCCGGGTGACATGATAGCAGTATTCCAGTATTTGAGAGGCTGCCACAAGGAGGAGGGGGTCAACTTATTTTCCAAAGCCCCAAAGGGCAGGACAAGAAACAATGGATGGAAGCTAATCAATGAGAGAAGCAACCTGGAATTAAGGAGAAACTTCCTAACAGTGAGGACAATTAAATAGTAGAAAGGCTTGCCTTCATATGTTGTAGGTGCTTCATCACTCAAGGATTTTAAGAGGAGACTGGACAGCCACCTGTCTGAAATGATGTAGGGACTCCTGCTTGAATTCCCTAATGGTGAGAGCAATCAACCCATGGAATAACTTGCCTTTAAAAGTTGTGGGTGCTCCATCACTGAAAGTTTTCAAAAAGAGACTGGACAACCCTTTGTCTGAAATGCTATAGGGCAGTGATGGCAAACCTTTTAAAGACCGAGTGCCCAAACTGCAACCCAAAACCCCCTTATTTATCGCCGAGTGCCAGGTGGGCCACGTCCACTGGATGGGCATGGCTGTGGTGGTCATGGCAGACTGGGTGGGTGTTGGCCAAGGTGGGCGTGGTCACCTCAATGTTGCTCATGGGGAGGGATGCCTGTGGAGGCCGGGCAGGGTTGGGGGAGATCCAGGGGGTCTCTGGCAGGTGGGGCGGTGGGCAGGAGGCTCGTCCTGTGGGATGAGGTGAGGCAAGGCGAGGCAGGGCGGGGGTGCCATTGTCACAGGGCAAGGTGAGGCAGGGGCCGGGGAGGCTGCTGCCTGACACCATCGGCCCCTGCACACAGAGGCCAGCGAGCGCATGGGTGCTGGGATGCATCCGGCCATGTGGGTCCTTGGCGAGTTAGCGGGCGGCTGGTTGAAGAGGGACGGTTGCCATCTCCGGGGCATGGCGAGCGTGCCCACAGAGAGGGCTCCAAGTGCCACCTCTGGCACGCGTGCCATAGGTTCGCCACCACTGCTATAGGGTATAGGGTCTCCTGCTCGAGCAGAGGGTTGGACTAGAAGACCTCCAAGGTCCCTTCCAACTCTATTATTCTATGTTCTGTGTTCTATGGTCCAAGTCAAACACTCAATATTCAGGTAAACAGAAGTTGTAAGGAATCCAATTTTGGCAACTGCTATTGCTAGTCCATTATAGACAGTGAGGGAGATGGCATTGATAGAGATATCCGAGTTCTATTAACAAGGCAATGAGCAATGTCTTAACTCCATAACCAACAGATCATATTTGGAAGATGCTCAGATATCTATTTTCCAGGGAACATTCCCTAGAAGTAATAATAATAATAATAAAGTTGGAAGGGACCTTGGAGGTCATCTGGTCCAACCCCCTGCTCAGGCAGGAAACCCTATACCATTTCAGACAGATGGCCGTCCAGTCTCTTCTTAAAAACTTCCAGTGTTGGAGCATTCAGCGCTTCTGGAGGCAGGTTGTTCCCCTGGTTAATTGTTCTAACTGTCAGGAAGTTTCTCCTTAGTTCTAGGTTGCTTCTCTCCTTGCTTAGTTTCCATCTGTTGCTTCTTGTCCTGCTTTCAGACAGATTTGTACTCCACTTTATATCTCAGAGATCGACACGACAGTTTTGCTCCAGCATTTCTAGGAAGGACATGGAGCACAGAGCATCTGACTTATTCAAAAGTCACTTGAGAATTTTCATAACGAGAATAGAAGTTAGGGGGGTCTCTGATCCAGGTGGCTCAACTCTCCCTCTAATTCACAGAACAACTAAGAAGCAGGGAAGAGGTGTAACACAATTACACTTGCACGATTCTTCTTCAGATTCTGAAATCTGGAGGGATGTTTATCAAAACAATCACATTTGGTTAGGATCAAGGACTTTAATGAAGGAGATAAATCACCATCAGGCTTGCAAAATTCTGCTGATATCAATAAAAGTATCCTGTACAGTTAGTTTTCTGGTCTGGTCTATCTAATGGGGCTGACATTGATCAATTCCAAAGGAAGGGTCATCAATTAATCAATTCACAAGTGAACCTCTCTTTAAAAATGTCCAGCTTTTTATCAGCCCATCTAGAGAGTAAGGAAGATGGCCTTGATGGAAATAGGTAGAAACTGCTTTCCATGCTAAAAGGGATGAAGTATTTCTGAAGTCTAGAAAAATGAGATAACATTTGGAAGAAACTCAAGTAGCTGTTTCCCTAATTCAATGAATTATAAGGAGGAGGCGGAAGTACGTGACAATCCGACTTGCAACATCCTGTTCTTTCATTAATCTCAATTAAAGTAATTTTAGCCATTCTTACGGGGTTGATTTCCTGTTCTACTCTACCTAGTAGGGCTGATATGCTAAGTCAAAACCACAAACACGCACCCTATACAGTAATATAATGTGTGAACCCAGCATAATCCTTATAGCTAAGAGATAGTAGAAAATCTGTTCTTTCTGTACATTATGTTTACAGTAAAAAAAAAAATCATTTCCCATATTTTCCTTAAAGACAAGTTCCAAAAAATTGAGATATTATTATTTTTTTTCTTTAAGGCTGACTAAGTTCAAGACAGCTCTAAAAATATGTAAGGCAAATTACATGTTTATATGTGCTCATTATTTACCGGAAATTAATTAAAGCAGACAGGCGATTTGCTTATATGCTTACAAGTCATTCAACGGGTTTTAATTAATATTCCTCATTAGAAAGACTTTCCCATAAAGTAAATGCATTACCAAGATAATGATTTAATTAGTGTTTGAATGTGATTGGTTAGAAAGGGCAACGTCTGCACCTAATTAATTCTAGGGTATAATTTCATGAGGTTAAAATAAAGCAGAGGTTAGCAAGCTTTTTTTTTTCTTGGCAGAAGTGGGGAGAGAAAATAAGTGGAATTTCAGATATTCACATGTGGGCCCAATCCAAAAATCACTTTGTATCTTAGTAACAAAACAGAAGAATCTAAACCACTCTAAACAAAATCAACAAGTTACAGAATGAATGAATGAATGAATACAGTGGTACCTCAGTACTCATTGTTAATTAGTTCTGGGAGGTACAATGAGTATCAAAAATGATGAGCACCAAACAAATTTTTCCCATAAGAAAAAATGTAGGCAGCCAACAACGACAAGTTCTAGCTTATGCAGTGGTGCAATTCAGCCAGTTCGCACCATTTCAGCAGAACCGGTAGCTAATTTTTTTGTTGCCCAGGCCCAGAATGGACTTCTGGAAGCAGCATCCACACAGAGAACCGGTTGTTCGCATATTTGAATCCCACCACTGAGCTTAGGCATTGAATACTAAACAAACAATGAGTACTGGGACAAAAATTTTGCATCCAAATGCATTGAGTACTAAATTTGATGAGTTTCAAAGCCGTTGAGTACTAAGGAACCACAGTACAGATAGTAGCCTCAAGAAAGGTCGTAATATGGGGCAACACTCACTTAACAAATGTCTCGCTTAGCCACAGAAATTTGGGGCTCAATTGTGGCTGTAAATCGAGGACTATCTGTATACATATGGCAGACAAACTGCCATCGGGTAGACAGCGTAATTATTCGGTTAATTTAAATAAGAATCATTACGTTTCAGGTGCGAAATGATATTCCAGGAGGTGTGAAAACTTGGGTTGAGAAGTTTCAAAATTATAGTGTACATGTATAATTCGTTGCCATTATTTTGAACTTTTGTAAGGGGTGCGAGAATATATCAGAAGTGTGCTAGGGGCGCGGGGTATAGAAAAGGTTGGGAGTCACTGCTTTAGAAGAATGAATGAATGAATGAATGAATGAATGAATGAATGAATGAATGAATGAATGAATGAATGGTATTTATTACAGCCACTGACCAGAACTGCAAACAAAACTGTATACAAAAATAAATAAATAAAAAAAGCAAAACATTATAAAATATTGCAATTGGCGGTGGCTTCCTCAGTGGATAATCAAAGTCTGCCTAATTCTGCCAGCAGTATAACAAAATTTCGCTACGTTCAAAGAGACTGGATCATTTTGATCAGATAATAATAACTGTACCTAAAAAAAAGATCAGAATTTCCAAGGGTTTTGATTTTTTTACCAAGTAAGGAGTTATAAGGCTGGTTCTTGAGTCCTGGTAGAGGATACAATACTGTATAGCAGCTCCTTTTTTCCACAGGGGCACACTTTCAACTTTTTTGTATCAGCCCTCCAAAACTATGGTGATGAGAATGTTGAAGTTTGCTGAAGTTAGTGGTCTTTGGAATCTGACAACAGTTAACCGGGTTTTAAGTATCACACTGGCTTGTAAAAAGGGGCTTGGCTGCTCAGAAAGCAGTGCCCTTAAATACAGCAGACTGGTCGTGTTGTGTATGACCATAATAAAGATTTCATTGGCCTTGTTGAACTTCCAGGTTTTGGATATGTTGTTTAAATGCGCTGAGTGCATACTCATAACCCATCATTAGGAATGCTTCCCTGGAAAAGCCCAGATGTTGACGTCTATGGAGATTCTCAGTCATCCGGATCATGGTTGTCCCAAAGCCATTTTTCCAAAAGGCAGCTGGACTTCCTTGGCTTTTCCTTGAAGACATTTCACTTCTCCTCCAAGAAGCTTCTTCAGCTTCTCCTCCAAGAAGCTCCAAGGAGAACTGAAGAAGCTGAAGAACCAAAGAAGCTTCTTGGATAAGTAGCAAAATGTCTTCAAGGAAAAACCAAGAAAGCTCAGTTGCTTTTTGGAAAAGCACCTTTGGGACCCAGATGTTGGCCTTTTTTGTGAGATTGTCCTGAACCATACTCATTAGTAGAAAGGAAGTATCGGGTCCTAGTTGGGCACCAAAAAGTAGCTGTCTACAAGCCTTAGCTGAATATAGCTTCAGTACTGCTGGGATGTGCTGGGTTCCTCTGTTCTTTGGAAGATAGTTGATTTACACACACATATACACAGTAGGTCACCCCACAAGCCATTTGGAAGATACTGCTAAACTGCTTTAAGTGGGCCCCTAAGAAGGCTTAATGCAGAAGACATTGATGTTGCATTGTCCCTACATTGCTTGCCTTGGCTCCTTTCCCTCATAATCAACAGAAGCAACAGATGCTGGAGAATAACCTCTGGAGAAGGAATTCTCCTTTTGTTCTCAATTGCTTAGAGGAGATAAAAGCTTTTCCCATTCATTGCTGAGTAAACATCTGCTCACTAGGCAGTGTCTGTTCAGGTTTTCTTGTCTTTATTTTTTTTTCCTGATGACAAAGACAGTTGGGTTCTAACGGCAGCTGCTTCCAAGTTTCAGATGAAGAAAGTATTTGTGAAGTCCAAGGATGAAGAACGAGCTGAAATTCTGTAGGGCGACAAAGAAGTCCATACGGTTCCTCAAGTTCTGAAGATGAACCTGGACTGTGGAGGTCTTCTCTCTTTCTCCAAAGGGCAAACTTTATGCCCATTTCTCTAGACTCAAAAAATTGAACAGTTTTCTTTTCCTTTGCCTTCAACTTAAACCACATTTCTTCAGCCACACTTTCAAGCTGTTGTGCAATTCCTTTGTGTAGTTAGAGTGGATAGCTGCTGCAGAACTCCTAGAAAACCTGTCCTTTGACACTTTTCTTTTTTTTTCTCATCTTATTTTTCCAGGTCGCTGGATTGAAGATCATGGAGTCATCCATAATATGATGTTCAACACGGAAACTCTACGGAAATACGGCTATAAAGAAACCCAGAATAAGACTGAATGGTGGGACAATGGAGTTCTTCCCCTCTGGATCACAGCTCAAAATCAGGTAATGGATCCAATGATCATCATGGCATGATTTCTACATGGTTGGGGAATTCTGGGAGTTGAAGTCCATCCATCTTAAACGTGCCAAGGTTGGGAATCACTGCCTTAAGCTATGGCTTAGTTACAGTTGGTTTGCTCAGCACAGCTCCATGCTTCGTCCATCCAACTGAAGCATCAACCACATTCCACTATGGTTTGAAAAAATATGGCTTGAAACAAAACAAAATTAAGCTACACAGCGGTTTAATGCAATGTGTCCAGTCTTAGAGTTTATGTTGTGCTATACAGTACTAGGCTGTGGCCCTCCTTATTTTGCTGAGGTCATTTCTTGCATCTGCTTGGTTAATTAAAGATGATTAGGGGACTGGAAGCTAAAGCATAAAAAGAATGGTTGCTGAATTGGGTATGTCTAGTTTAATGAACAGAAGAACTAGGGTGACATGATAGCCGTCTTCCAGTACTTGAGGGGGTGTCACAGAAGAGGGGGTCAGCCTATTCTTCAAAGCACAAGAAGGCAGGACAAGAAGCAATGGATGGAAACTAATCAAGGAGAGAAGCAACCTAGAACTAAGGAAACAGTTCCTGACAGTGAGAACAATTAACCAGTGGAACAACCTGCCTCCAGAAGCGGTGAATGCTCCAACACTGGAAGTTTTTAAGAAGAGACTGGACAGCCATTTGTCCGAAAGGGTATAGGGTTTCCTGCCTGAACAGGGGGTTGGACTAGATGACCTCCAAGGTCCCTTCCAACTTTATTATTATTATTAAGGGGTTGGACTAGAGGACCTCCAAGCTCCCTTCCAACTCTGTTATTCTGTATTCTGTTAATTGCATTTATTTGTTATCTGAACTCTGAGAAATCACCTAAACAGCTTGGCTGTTTGCATCTTTAAACCTGCCAGATTGTGTGCAATTTAGAGTTGAACAGGGGAGTGGGATATCAAGCAATGTTACTTGAACAATTAAATGAAATAAATATGATTTGATTTCATTTAGTTTTCTAGTAATGCATTGATCTATCATTTGGGGAGCCAAATATATTCCTCAGAATGTATGTCACACTGTTTAGCACAAGGCTAAGTAGGCCATCAGACAACATGGCAGCCTCAGAAAAACTCCCACAAAACAATATGGTTTATTTTCTTCTTCTTTTCTTTTCAATTACTTAACACTCTTTTGCTTAGCAACGGGGAACGTGGCGATGGTTTCTTTGCCCTCACACGGGGAAAGGGGTGATGCTAATTCAAATGACACATGGAACAAGAATTTTAAAAAGCTCACGCAGCTTAAATCTAGCTTATGTCAAATTGAAAACCATCCTCATAGTGAGAAGCAGAAGCCGGGAGATACAAAACACTTTAATTTGAATAAGCAAAGGATACAGTGCAAAGAATGAGGGTGGGAGATGGGGAATAGCGTCGGAGAAAACCCACCAGCTGTCTCACCGCAAAACCTTTTCAGGAACAATAAGAATTGTGGTAATAAAAGGAAGGAAATAACGTTCCCAATAAAACTGATAATATCGCAAGTGTATAGCTGCTAGTAAAGTTGATTATGTTAATAAAACAGGGAGGCAGGAACAGTAAATACTCTCCAGTTTCAAGATAATTAGGTTGTAAGAGAGTTTTATTAAATTATTCGGTTGGAATTAAGAAAGGAAGGAAGATGCTGGTCAGATTTTGACTGAATGGAAATTCAACGGGCTGCTCAGTCTAAGGAGGGAAAGAAGGGAACCCCAAAGACTCTCGACAAAGGATACAGAATACATAATAATTGCATTGGAATGGACCTTGGAGGTCTTCTAGTCCATCCCCCTGTTTAAGCAGGAGACCCTATACCAGGGGTCGGCAACCTTAAACACACACACACACACACACACACACACACACANAGAGACAGAGACAGAGACAGAGACAGAGACAGAGACAGAGACAGAGAGAGAGAGAGACTGCTTTCTGCTGCTTCCTGCTGAGACACAGCAAAGGCAGGAGCCCCACCCAATAAGCTTGACAGCTTGTCCTAGAACAGCATGAGGCCACTCTCTTTTTTACACAGAGAGAGAGAGAGAGAGAAAGAGAGAGAGAGAGAAAGGGAAGCGCAAGTGCCTCTCTCTGTCTCTGTCTCTCTCTCTGCAAATGGCGGAGGAGGCTGGGAGCCGCAGGAGAAGGCTCAAAGAGTCACATGCGGCTCTGGAGCCGCGGGTTGCCAGCCCGTGCCCTATACCATTCTGGAGAGATCCAATCTCTTCTTTAAAACCTCCAGTGATGGAACACCCACAACTTCTGAAAGCAAGCCGTTGCACTGATGTTGTTGCCGACAGAAAATTTCTCCTTAATTCTTGGTTAGATCACGCTTTGATAAGCTTCCGTCCATTACTTCTTGTCTTGCCCTCAGGTGCTTTGGAGAATAGGTTGACCTCCTCTGTGACACTCCCTCAAATATTGGAAGATTGCTATCGTGTCACCCCAGCCCTTCTCTTCATTAGATTCGATATACCCAGTTCCCTCAATCGTTCATTGTATGCTTTAGCCTCCGGTCCCCTAATCAGTGGTGGGATTCAAATATGTGAACAACTGGTTCTCTGTGTAGATGTCACATCCGGAAGTCCATTCTGGGCCTGGGCAACAAAAAAATAGCTACCGGTTCTGCCGAAGTGGTGCGAACCAGTTGAATCCCACCACTGTCCCTAATCATCTTTGTTGCTCTTCTCTGCACACTTTCTAGAGTCTCAGCATCTTTTTTTGTATCATGATGACCAAAACCGAAGACAATATTCCAAGTGTGGTCTCACCAGTGCATTATAAAGCGATACGATCACTGCTGGGTTAATCAAGGGCTGGCAATCAAGTATAGCTTGACAACTACTCTCTGGGAAGCCTTATTCAGCCAAACATTGGTGTTCCACACACACACACAAACACATTTTTCTCTACCCATTGTAAAAGAGAAAATTGTTTTGGAATTTTTCTCAATGAATTCTACATGCTCAGATAAAATCTCCCTTGCAATGGAACTTAGCAAATCACAAAAAGAAAGAACAACCTACCCTTTTAAAAAAAATAAGTAAATAAATTTAGAAAAGAATATTTGAGCAGACATGGAAGTATTTCAACCTGCAAAAGTCTATAAGGCTCCGGGGATATTAATGGCTCTGTACAATGCTATCAGTATCCCTGCCAATTGGTGACATTTTAGTGCTCAAAAAGTCAATGTTTTAAAAAGCAGTTGGCTGACCACTATTGTCCTATAACATCTCTTCAACTTCATAAAAATACTGCTGGGGACAAATATACGTTGCTGCTGTCTTCTGCTCATTTCTGTTGGGAATCACATCCTGTAATTATTCAAGCTTATATTGTCCTCCTCCAAACTCATAATTGTATACACCACAGAAATGATTGACCTATTTTATCCTACCAATAAAACCCGTAAAGGAACTGAGTAGCAGAGCTGACCGTAGAGTTCAATGGGGTCCTTCTGGATTCTTCTTCAATATACTATTTATATGTTAGCTTTCCCCATGCTGGTGCTCTCCAGGTGTCCCCCTACAAGTTCTTTCATTCTGGGTAGAAATGATGGTTCTTCTTTATCTAGCTACATTTGGAAAACACAAGTTGGAGAAGTCTGGTTTATCTCTACCAAGGGTTGTAAGTAGAGAATATCCTACACTTTGGTTCACATCACGTCAGGCACAAGGAACCAGAACGACACTGTGAGCTGATCAGAGTAGCTTCTTTCATTGTTGCTTCCCTATTTACAAGAATCTCACCAGATTAACTGCAGATAAAGGCTTTGGGGATCTTAAGAGGATCCAACCTCCATTGCTTCCTCTCCTGGAGGAATTCAACCTCCCCAGTCTCTTTACTTCCACCCCACCAATGCGTACCAACCAACACAGCCACTTAAATTTCCAGAAGAGTTGCATTACTTTTGTGTCGCCAACAGCAAGAACTCTGTGAACGTTCATCTGGATTTGGATCCTCTGAATATTGTAGGTTTTATTTCTAAGGGGGAAATGTAGGCTTGTCCCCTGCAAAAAGCAATATTTTGAAATATGTGGGACATCACTCTTCCTCTGACATTAAGAACTTAAATTCCTCTTTTATTCCTTTGCAAGATCTGTCTGCTTTGTCAGCTTAGATTTTATACTGAATTTGACCTTTTCCCAGGATATTAAATGTCAGTAAGAATATTATTACTTTACCACCCCTGCTTAGCACTTTAGAAATTAAATTCAGCAGAATAACAATACGAGTGGTAAGAAGAATAATGCCTGACTAGTGCTATTTTGAAATTCATATTATTATTGTTATTATTTTAAAAACTCTATAATTTGGGAGAAAAAAAATTATTTCTGCTTAAAGCTTAATGTGTTTTCAGGTTAGACTCATATATTCAGAAGAACGCAATATTCATTTCAATGGCACTTATTCCCAGATAATCATGAAGTAGTTTGCAGTCGTGCTCATAAATTTAATTGTAAGATGTTTTGAGTGTTTTGTTTATTTGTTCTGGATGCCTTAAGTTTTATAGTGAAGACTTGCAACAGAAAGCAGTTTTCCTGAGTACAGAAATGACAGAAAAATAAGTGATCAATATTTGTACTACCAAGTTGGCCACAGTGTCTGCATGTGGCGAGTTTTATGATTTTCATACTTGCCATCAATTCTCTCTCTCTCTTTTCTTTCTTTTTCTCTTTCCTTTATTTTTCCTTCCTTCTTCCTTCCTTTTTCCTTTCTTTTTCCTTCCTTCCTCCCTTCTTCCTTCCTTCCTTCCTCTCTTTCTTTTTTTCTTTGTTTCTTTCTTCCTTCTTTCTTCCTTATTTCATTTCTTTCTTCCTTCCCTTTTCTTTTTTTCTTTTTCTTTCTCCCTTCTTTGTTCCTTTCTTCCTTTTCTTTCTTCTTTCCTTTTTCTTTCTTTCTCTTTCTTTCATCTTTTTTATTCTTCCTTTTTTCTTTCTTTTTCTTTTTCTTTCTTTCCTTCCTTTCTTTCTTTTCCTTTCTTCCTCCCTCCCTTCCTTCCTTTCTTCCTTTTTTCTTTCTTCCTTATTTTCTTTCTTCCTTCCCTCCCTCCCTTTTTTCTTCCTTTTTCTTTCTCCCTTCCTTCCTTCCTTTTCTCTTCCTTCCTTCATTTCTTCCTTCCTTTTCTTTCTTTTTTTCTTTCTTTCCTCCTTTCTTTTTCCTCCTTTCTCCTTTCTTTCTTTCTTTCTTTCTTTCTCTTTCTTCTTTCTTTTTTTTTCTTAATTTCTTTCTTTCTTTTTGTCTTGGTTAGGGGAAAAAAGCTGCCTCTTTTCACTATCCAGGGGGCAACGCCAACTACAGTGGTCAGTCGGTCACAAGGAGCTTGGCCGAATCCTCCAATCACCCCGACAGCAACGAGACTGAGTGGCGAGAGAACATCGACATTGTCATGAACTGGTTTGCTAAAGAAGATTTCGATTTTGTCACACTTTATTACGGGGAACCTGACAATACTGGACATTACGTTGGCCCGGAGACTGAGGAGAGGAAAAAAATAATCCAACAAATTGACCGAACCCTCGGCTACCTCCTCAGTGCAATCGAAAAACACGGATTGAAAGATATTCTCAACGTCATAATTACGTCTGACCACGGTATGACCACCGTCAAAAAGGCCCCGCAGGTCAAAGAGATCTTGTTGAACGATTACATTCAATTCCAAGACGTCGCCAAGTTTGACATTGTTGATTACGGAGGGTTTGGGATGATACTACCCAAACCAGGGAAAGAAGAAAAAATTTACCAGGACTTAAAAAAGGCCCCTCCTCAACTGCATGTCTACAAAAAGGAAGAGTTTCCTGAACGTTTCCATTATGCCCGGCATGAGCGTGTGTTACCGATCCTGCTTTACGGCGATTCTGGCTACGTGATCAATGGGGTAAGTTTTGTGTGGAAATCAGAGGTGGATATGGAAATATCGCCTCATCATATGTAGGAACTTGGTTATTTTTAAAAAAGCAGAGAGGAATTAGGCAAAGCTAACTGATGTAAATTACAGGTAATAATAACAATAACAATAATAACAACAACAACAACAACAACAAACAACAATAATAATAATAATAATAATAATAATAATAATAATAATAATAATAATATAACAAAATACAAAGACCTACAAATAGAAATAGAAAGACTGTGGCAAAAGCAAGCAAAGGTAGTACCAATAGTAATAGACGCCTTGGGTGCAATCCCAAAACAACTGGAGCACCACTTGAACACCACTGGCACTGACAAATTCGCTATTAATCAATTGCAAAAGGTGGCCTTACTAGGAACTGCTTCCATCCTGCGACGATATCTGTAATACCATGAACCATCCACATCTGCCTATCCCAGGTCCTTGGGAAGGACTCGATAGGTAGACAAAAATGCCAAATCCAGTCTGAACATCTGGCTGACTGTGCGATGATTAATAATAATAATAATAATAATAATAATAATAATGATGATGATGATGATGATGATGATGATGATGATGATAAAGTTGGAAGGGACCTTGGAGGTCATCTAGTCCAGCCCGCTGCTCAGGCAGGAAAACCTATACCATTTTGGACAAATGGCTGTCCAGTCTCTTCTTAAAAACTTCCAGTGTTGGAGCATTCACCACTTCTGGAGGCAGGTTGTTCCATTGGTTAATTGTTCTGTCAGGAAGTTTCTCCTTAGTTCTAAGTTGCTTCTCTCCTTGATTAGTTTCCATCCGTTGCTTCTTGTCCTGCCTTCAGGCACTTTGGAGAAGGTAGTCAAGTTAAGGTAGTCCTTGACTTACAACCATATGAAGTTCAACAGCACAGAACAAAGTGACTTACGACCGTTTTTCACACTTACGACCATTGCAGCATTCCCGGGGTCATGTGACTTACATTCGGAACCACCTTTTTTCCACCCTGTGACAAGCAAAGTCAATGGAGAATAACCGAGACCTTTAACAATCGTGTCTCTAATTTAAAAACTGCAGTAATTCACTTCGTAACACGGGACGAAACTCACTCAACAAATTTCTTGCTCAGCTACCTAAATCCTGGGCCCAGTTGTGGCCATAAGTCACTAGCTGTAATTGATCTCCCTCCCCCCACCACTGTTGCCTAAAATTAAAACCTCTGTAGTTATTGCTAAAACTGGATGGTGGACAATTCAGACCCAAGAAAGGTAAATGCATCTTCAGAGAACCATGGTTGAACAGTCCAACTTACCGATGAGAAGATGGTGGTGACATCAGAGCTCTTGAATAAGAAACCTCCTTGAAGGTTTCATTGGAAAACCTGAATCGAATAGTGCTAGAGAGGAGAATTAACCAGTGGAACAGCTTGCCTCCAGAAATCGTGGGCGCTCCATCACTGCAGATTTTTAAGAAGAGGCTAGACATTCACCTGTCTGAGATGGTATAGGTCCCCCTGCTTGAGCAGGGGGCTGGACTAGAAGACCTCCAAGGTCCCTTCCAGCTCCATTCTATTCTATTCTATTCTATTCTATTCCATTCTATTCTATTCTATTCTATTCTTACTCTACATTCTATTCTATTCTATTCTATTCTATTCTATTCGACTACTCTGCATTCTATTCTATTCTATTCTATTCTATTCTATTATTCTATTCTTACTCTACATTCTATTCTATTCTATTATTTTATTTTTACTCTACATTCTATTCTATTCTATTCTATTCTATTCTATTCTATTCTATTCTTACTCTACATTCTATTCTATTCTATTCTATTCTATTCTATTCTATTCTATTCTATTCGATTCGATTCGATTCGATTCGATTCGATTCGATTCTATTCGATTCGATTCTACTCTGCATTCTATTCTATTCTATTCTATTATTCTATTCTTACTCTACATTCTATTCTATTCTATTCTATTCTATTCTATTCTATTCTATTCTATTCTATTCTATTCTATTCTATTCTATTCTATTCTACTTTTGGCACATTCTTCCTGACATTGGGTTGGCCCTCTAGGGCAGGGCTTTTCAACCAGTGGTACGGGTACCACCTGTGGTACATTGGCACCTGGCAGGTGGTACGTGATCATCCTAGAAAAGTGGTAGCGGGGGAGGGGAATGAGCTGAACCGGTGGCAGCATCACACAAGCCTGAGTGAGAGATGGCTAGAGTTGGAGGGCTGTCAGGGCTCAGCGGAAGCGCCAGGATCAGTGCCAGGCTCCAGCTGGAGCTCGGCACTGATCCTGGTGCTTCTGCTGAGCCCTGAAGAAGCACCGATCAGCTGGAAAGCAGCACTGATCCTGGCACTTCTGCTGAGCCCAAAACAAGCGCTGATCAGCTGGAATGTTGCAGCATCTCCAGGGTCTTGTGATTTACATTCAGATGCTTGGCAATTGATTCATATTTATAACGGTCACAGTGTCCCAGGGTCATGTGAAGTGACCAAAACCTGCTGCAACCACCCAGCAGACGGGGGGAATAAAAACCAAACACCCCCCACCCCACCCCCGCTGCCAATCCTCAACAGAAATGCTCACAACAATGAACACCTCGGACAGGAGGAAGAGCGCCACCGGGTGGGCAGGCAGGTGTCTTGCTCGGCTGTGGCTTGGGGGGCACTTTTTTCAGTGCTATTGTAACTTCGAACAGTCACTAAGCGAACTGTTGTAAATCGAGGACTACCTGTACTTCGTCACTTTTTTCCTTTTTTGGGGGGGGTCATCAGGTTTTTGACACCTTGCTAGGCGACTGGTGGTACTCGGATGTTGCCATATCCTAAAAGTGGTACAATGGGTGAAAAGGTTGAAAAGCCCTGCCCTAGGGGAGAAAATGTTGGAGTAGATAGGATCTCTGGGATGACCAGGGAGCTGTGTTCTTATGTGAAGAGTTAATTATCCATAAGCATTCCAGCTCTCAGACTTGGCAGACAGAATCAGAAAGAGATGTGGTGGATCATATAGCCCATTTCCTATTGGATGCAGGAAATTCGGAACTGAATAATTCCCAACCGATGGCTATTCAGTTATTCTAAAATCATTATCCATATCAGGTCTGAGATACAATCTAATAAGGCAGTATCTCCTCATTGACATCTGCCCTTGGTCATCGTCTCCTCCTCTTCTTCCTCCTCCTCCTCCTCCTCCTCCTCCTCCTCCTCCTCCTCCTCCTCTTCCTCCTTCTCCTTCTCCTCCTCTTCCACCTCCTCCTCTTTCTCCTCCTCTTTTCTTCTCCTCCTCCTCCTCTTCCTCCTTCTCCTCCTCCTCCCTCTCTTGCTCCTCCTCCAGTCCTCCTCTTTGTCTCTCTTCTCCTTCTCTTTCTCTTCCCTTCTCTCCCTCCTCCTTCCCCTTCAGTCCTTCTTGTTGCTCTTCTTTTCCTTCTCCTCCTTCTCCTCCTTCTCCTTCTTCTTCCTCTCCTCTTCCTCCTCCTCCAGTCCTTCTTCTTGTCTCTCTTCTTTTTCTTCTCCTCCTTCTTCTTCCTCTCCTCCTCCTCCTCCTCCTCTTCCCACTGTAAAACAAAGTAGCTTCCAGCCTGCGGCATTATCATTATTTTCAAGAATGTAAGCACGTCTCCTGTTAAGATCCCGCAGTTCCCATAGGCATTCTTAGAGAAAAGAAACACGGTGGGTTGCAAAAGCCAGGACTGTGCTCGTAAGCAAGCCTACCAACCAGGCAAAAAATGTCAGCTTAGTTGGTACAGACCATCCTTGGAGACTTGAGGTCAGGGCAAGCAGCAACCCCATATATTTCTTGTTATTTATTTTGTGGGGGGGGGTGAATTGGTGTTTGGTCATTGACACTTCTGAGATTCCAAAAGTGCACACCAGTCTAAAACAAGGTCACATTTTCCTGGTCTAATATTGAAGTCATGTTAATACATTAACTCTCGTTGCAAGAGAAATCAATGCAAGCCCTTTTCATTTAAAGCATTCTTTCCTTAGCCTATTAACCGCTATTAGCATTTCACATTCCCCCACAGGCTCTGACATCCTCAACTGATCAATAAACAATAAAATGTAATTTCACACAGAAAGGTGGCCATTGCATAATGGGCTTTTTAATTCCTCGCACGGTGACCTTTCCTTCTGAATGTGCTTCGCTGTTCTTGTCATCTATAACCATGCCAGTGCTTGGGAGATGTTGTAAAAAAAAAACCAACCCAACAGAAATCTGCAAACTGCAGTAGATCACAGCACTTGCCACTGGCGTCTTATAGAAACAACTCCTTCCCATAATTATTGGAAATGGTGGGACACTTTACTTTACCATGCAGGTAGTCCTTGACTTACAACCGTTGGGTTTAGTGACCGTTCGAAGTTACAGCAGCGCTGAAAAAATGATTTATGGCCATTTTTGTCACTTACGACCATTGCAGCATTTGGTCAATTGGTCAAAATTTGGGTTTCTGATGAGGGGCACTAGGAGAAGGTCTCCAAATATTGGTTGTCAAGCCCATCTTTCCAACCATCCATCGCACAGCTCAAAAGCCCCTCTTCACATCTCCAAGGCTACACCTAATATTACTTTAAGCAGGGGACTCTTTGCTCTTCACCTTTGTAGTTTTTGAGTAGAGCAACAGTGACATGTAGTGGCCACTACAGTAGCAAGTCCGGAGGGCTGCTCAATTTGGTCAGTGGGACTGTGAAAAGAGTTAGACTCTGCAGACCGTCTTCTGCTAATCATTGACTTGCCCTTGTGAAAAGCAGAAGCCTTGGTGGGATAGAGAATACGATGCCCCTGCCCTTGGCATTATTTAATTGTATGTTTTCATTAATCAGCATGATGCAAGCTAAAAGGACAGCATTGTGCCTTCCTAAAAGAACATTCAGTCAAGAGACAACCGAAGAAATACTGCAGGGTGGGGCTTTGTTCCAACAGGACCCCCCCCCC